CAACTTTTCTGCCGGGGGCATGTGTAATAGTGTTAATGTAGTTTAGAATTATTAGACGGTAGAGAGTAGAGTTAGTTTGAGAAGATACGTGGTGTTCGTTGGTAACACATGTATAGATATTTGCGCTACGCGCGAGCGCATAGTTAAATAATATTCCAGCATTTGCAAGCAAGTAGAGCTGAAATTAGCAATAACTTAGTATCAGTATATAGGACGTTAGCAGCATTAGAACTAGTCAGCAGCGAACGTTGACCGCGCTGTGTGTATTAGCGGCATTTCATTGCGTAGGGTTAGCACGGGTTGGTTGCGCGCAGGCCAGGAATACGCGGCAAGCGTGCGTGTTGACCACATGTGATACGTTTGTGACGATCGAGTTCAGAAGTTTCTTGCGTAGCCCCATACCATATATGGGGCTTGGCAATGTCGTTATCCCAGCGAGATAGATGCTTTCTAGTTCAATAAATTTCCACTAGTTTCCACCATGGCAGCACAGTCCAGTGCCCAATAATTTACGTCATAGTGTACCACTTAGACATAAATTAGTTAACGAATCAAAGAGCAGAGAAAATCAAGGGTCTGACCAATGGTCAGACATGGGGGAGGGACCGATTTATTTTGAGTAGTATATAATCGCATGCAGAGCATCGGAGAGACAAGTTTTACAGTTTTTCAGGCTCAGTACTCTACTAGTCTGTATTAGTGATTCTCTGAGTAGAATAAAGCCATCTAGTCTGTTACAACAGATATGTTTTATCATTATTGTGAAGTGAATCGTTACTCGTCTTACGCCGTACCACAAAAAAGGACACAAATGAGTGAGTAAGAAGAAGTCAGTTTTAATTGAGCAACCATCGACGTACATTATAGAAACGATTGCCATCTGTATATCGCAATAATAATTTATAAACCAAAATAAATCACAATTTGTGACCGTAGATGGCGCTATACCCGCTTTGTAGCGATGACATTTGAAATAAATAGGTTATGCTGCGTTCCGACATGTTTTGTAAAACTTTACTCTAATATAGACGTTTTATTGGCAGGGTGGAGAGGAAATAACAATTTTGCACTAAAGATATTGTCAATGAAATCTTGTGAAACGAACCAGACGAGTGTGACACCACAGACTGTTTGTGTCTATATAATATGCTATATAACTGCCAAACCCTACCTAATTTGCATAATATTATTTAACTAATTTATTACTTTTAAATATCAAAACCCCTAGCCCTTATTCATTCCCATACCAAAAATGAGCAAAATCCGTTGAACCTGAACTAATGGCAATTCCAATTTTTGCCAAAAAATTGCCGTGGCTTGAAAGTACGTCGACTAGCGTGCTTCAAAATAGGACGTTTAATATGGGAGCATAGCAGTAACAACTATACCCAATTTCAAACGTGTGTCAAACGGTTCCTGAGTTATCGTTGACCGTAGCGAAATGTTGACGGACGGACGGACGTACGACGGACGACGACCCATGGCAATAGCTCAGCTTGACGATGTCAAAGTGAGCTAAAAACGCACTATGACAAGTTGACAGCAAATGATTAATTTCTGGCATTTTGTACGTCTTTTTTCAATGGACCAGTGTATAAGCATGCATGTATTACCCATCTGTACATAGCGGTTTTTGTTTGTGTTCCCGTATTCCATAAAACTTGTTTTACTGTCCCTTCTTCCCCAACACCCTCGGTAGACCCTCATTGGAAGCATCATCATACAGTTTGTGTTTCTGTGGGACCAAATATGACAAGTTTAGATTATATATATAATCTAAAATGTTCTGCATGGGAGCTGGGTCCTCTCCTGAGTCACGCCTGATAGCTGGCTCAAAGATAGGAATGGATTTCGTGAAAAGATCATCGGAACGGAACTCTGGGAAAATTTCCTGAGGTTTACCAGTTGCCAGCTCCACTGCCAGCCATTTCAAGCTGCTCTGCCGCTCGAGGCCGCTCCACCACTCGAGGCCGCTCCGCCGCTCAAGGCCGCCCCACGAGCCACTCCGCCGCTCTACATATGCTTTCTTTTGTGAAGAACACCCTGAATTACAAGTGGGAAAGTCCAAGTTTGCAGAGTATCGCCCTCAACATGTTCTGCTCAGTAAAAAATTACCTCATATTGTCTGTCTCTGCAGGCACCACGAGAATGCCATCAATGCTTTTAATGCACTACACAAGGCTCATCCAGAATTTCCTGCTTATACCCGTGATCTCCCAGCTTCTTTTCTCTGCAACCAACCATCAAGAAAGTGCTGGATGAATGAATGTGCAGAATGTCAAGATGCAGCAGGATTCAGCAAATCCTACTCTTTTGAGGGATTCCTCAACACCCCTTGCTCATGGCTTCAGTGGGAGACAGATGATGGAAGGATGATGAAGATTAAGGAAGGAACTGTAGAGCTAGTAGAGCCCATCACTGCCATCTTACTGCAGTTCCTGCAGCACTGCTATGTGAAACGTGAGCAAGCAACAGCATACAATGCTCAGAAGGAAAAGGCTGGTTTTGAATCACACGACATCCATAGTGCACTTCTCCAGGTGGATTTCTCTGAAAATTTCACGTGCGTTGCTGAAGACGATGTCCAGAGCGCGCACTGGAATCAGCGCCAAGTCGCCCTCTTCACTGCAGCACTCTGGCACTCTGGATCTCTGCATTCTCATATCCTGGCATCAGACGACCTCACACACTCCAAGGATACCATCATAGCCTACCTGGATGTGCTGCTAGGTTATCTACCATACAAGGTAACATCCATTTCTATCTGGTCAGATGGCCCAGCGTCACAATTTAAGAACCGATTTGTGGCAGCAGCACTAGGTACTCTTCAAGAAGCTCACAAGATCCACATCAAGTGGAACTTTTTTTCGACCTCCCACGGAAAAGGCCCGGTTGATGGGATTGGTGGGTCAGCGCTGTCATGCAGAAAGTTCTAACTTGCCAAAACATCGTCACAAATGCAGGCAGCTTCGTTGCTGCGGCAAGCACCATGGAGTAGGGGCAGCCCTATAGACCGAAGGCCCGATAGACCGAAGGTCCGATAGACCAAAGGTCCGATAGACCGAATGTTGCAAAGGGTTAGGGTTAGGGTTAGGGCATATATATGGTGTATAGTGGCATCATATGATTTATAGTGGCATCGGTGGATGTGCGGCATATTCACGTTCGAATACGGCATCAGTGGATGTCCGGATGCGTAGCCCTGGAGGCTAGGCGGCCGATTCCGGACATGTAGCCACTGCGTATTCGAATAAACCTTCGGTCTATCGGGCCTTCGGTCTATTGGACCTTCGGTCTATAGGACTGTAACCCATGGAGAATGTGTGTGTCACTGAGGTTAACTCAACAGAGATTACTAGGAGGAATGAGTCTGAACTTGAAGAATGTTTTCAGTCAGGCCAAGCCCATCACTGCCATCGCCAAGATGCATTTCCTGAAGGTGGTGAATGATGAAGTGGTGTCTCACATTCTGACAAAAGACAACACTAACAGAGCTGACGAGGATGGTGTGGTAACCCAAAGCAATGACGAGTCTATTGTAGTGGGAGACTGGTACATAGTAGAATACGAAGGCAAGCAATTTCCCGGAGAAGTTGTTGCCATGCGTGAGGGTGAGTTTCAGGTGTCAGTAATGGAACGAGTGGGAAAGTACTGGAAATGGCCTACACAAAAGGATGCCATTTTCTACACGGAGAACAAGATGATTACTAAATTGGATGCTCCAGAAGTTGTCAATAACCGTGGACATTTCAAATTTTCTGTTCAGATTTGAATTTTATCAAGGATCAATGCATAACACTGCAACTGACTGTTCAAGTTTTTCTCTTTTTATCACTGGGAAAAAAGACATTGCCCTTAAAAGAATGCAAAAGAACTGCAATGACATTTTTATGACTATGTAATTACACTGCATCATTTAGAATACAATATGACACTAAGAACATGAATTTGTATCATATACAGTATGTGCACAAACTGTATTTCTGACAATAAAGAAGAAAAATTATTAAGATTTCTTAATAGATTTCTCTGAAGAAGTTTGTAGTAAAAAAAGAGCTCAGGATATCATTTGATTAAAAAAGGGAAGTTGAAACTAAGGCCAAAGTACTTTTTAAGTTTTCATAAAGTTATAAATTGGAACATGTATTGGATTATTGTACAAGTCAACAAATGACCATTGTTTTGTATTATGGAATCAATCTCTACTCCAAATTTGTCTGTTATAATATGAATTCCATTTAAATGCTTAAATTTTTTTTAAAGTTACTTGGTGGAAATACATTGTCATATATGTTGACATGCATTATAAACATATCCATTAGTGGATAAAATATGTTGTAATTTTATAAGTTTTGAATGTGGCAAGTTTAAATAATAATAATATGGATTTATAAGTATGTTAGTTTACATACATGTAATTCCTAAGTGTATCTTGTGATTTTAAGGAAGGGGGAGGATCAAACATGATGTTTTGTAACTCGTACCTTTGCATGGACAAACTGTAAAGTTACTAACCGTAACGCGACTAACCATGATTTTTGGGTCTAATTAAAAAATGATGTCAATCTGCTAAAATTATTGGCTGAAACATTTGTCATCAAACTAGAAGTAAAATGAATATGTCACTTTGTTTGAGGTATCTCACATTTTAGGAAACTTTTTGTCTGAAAACATTGAATTTTTTCCCATGTCCTTTTTTTGTAACGTTACTAACCGACATTAAAAGTTACCATTGCAACTCTAATATTTTTGAATTGTTTTCATTCTTTTGTGTATTATAGATCTAGGGTGGGTGAACATGTTGTAACATGATTAGGACTTGAAATGAATAGATGGTGATGTTGCAGTAGAAAAGGGTATGAACATCTGCTAAAAATGTAACGTTACTAATCATGGAATTGCCCAAAACGATCTGGTGTAATTCTTGGCCAAGTTCCCCACAGGAATATTGTAGAATTAATGGGGTGGACCCGAGAATTGGGTGTGATATCAGATTTTCGATGCTGCTGAGATTATTTTGAATAGTGAAAACATAACTGTAGGTTTTGATGCTACAACGCAGGAAGGCCTTCACGTAAACAGTGTACACATTACAAACAAAAGTGACTGTCATGTCCTTGCAATTGATCAGTTAGCAGGTGGTACAGCAGAAGATTATGAGCTCTATATCACTGAGACTTTTGATAACTTGACAAATGTTTATTGCAAACTCTATTCTAGCAATTTTGAAGAAACTCGCCAAAAAATTATAGGACATATTTCAAATACCATGACCGACAGAGCAACAGTAAATCATGCCACCATCCAACGCCTTGAACTAAATTGGAGAAAAAAACCCAATGAACTGAATTTTCCACCTCCATCCTTTAGACACTATTGCCAGTTCAGTCCGGACTTCTCTGAAGGTCAATGAACCACCAGACCTTGTAAAAAAACCATTTGGTTCAGACAGTATTGCGCACCAGCTTGTTCTCTCCATTAACAAGTTCCGGTATAAAGATGGAAGGGGTGACCCCAAAGGGTTTACCAGTGCTTTGGAAAGAGCCGGTCTTCCAAAGGGACTCTTGCCACGTTATAGGGGGAATCGCCTCCATATAATGTTTCACATCGCTGGTAAATTACACCATCACAAGGACTTACTCATGAAATTATTTGAAGAAGCTACTGTTACCTGTGGCGGTCTACAAATTGCGATACTACATGATTTCAAGTCACCAGTTGCACAGGTGGAGATTCAAGTCTTTGGCTTGATTGGGAAATTGCTTTCTGGGCCATGGATGGCCAAGTTTTACACATCAAGTGTCAATCAAGTCAGCCATGTTGATGGTATCACCATCGTCAACGATCTCTTAAGAGTTTTAAGAGGGTTTTCTGAAAGTTCTCTGGACACTTTGACCCTACAAACAGATTTCTAACTACCGTTATTTGATGCAACTCTACTTTCACTTCAGCAGAAGTCAGTGGATGAACCATTGTTCATTTCAATGATGGAATCCTGCCTTTTGAAGATCATCAAAGTCCTAGCACGTCAGTATGCACGATACTTCAGGACTGATTTGACGGACCAGCTGAGGAGAGACGGAATCAGCACGCTGCCACAATATTGAAGCGGAAGAAATCATGGGGATGGTTAGTGCAGCTAAAGATCATGCCCCGAATGCCACTATGTGCTTCTTGTCTTCACAGACCCGGGCTCGAAAGAACCTTGTTGTAGATTACCTGGACACCCTAACAACAGAAAAAAGACAGAAAAAAAAAATTGTCAGTCGGTAGTTTACAAGGGACCAGTGGAGGAGTACGCTGTTGATAATCGAAAAATCGTACTGATCACCGGCGAGCAGCAGGGGCCTGTCGAGGTGAAAGACAAGACAATTATCTGCAACTTGCCGTTGATGAAGACTAATGAGAGGTCGCTATTCTACACGACAAGTGACACTAGAGGTCTGGAGTACGCGGGAGCAATGGATCTTCCCCTCTACCTTGGGGCGCAAATGTCATATTTGCATTACTCGGCCGCCCAGGACAGGCATCAAATTGTGTCGCGACTAAGCGTTGATGTCTGTAGGGTCGAACGAAAAGTCTTGCTTAACACCTTGGCTATTTTACGATCGGAGCCGAATGTAATTTCCCATATTCAGTACGACAACGTTATGGGGAAAGGCATCAGCGCTCTCCGAGCTGGAGAAGCCCTCTACCTATTCAAATGCACCGCAGCTAAGGTCATTGCGAAAAATACTCAAATCGCCTGTTATGAGTACATGCCGGTATTCGTGGGAAAGACTCCAATGTTCCTCAGACCATTTACCAATTTTTTGACAACTGCGTCCCCGGAGATTCCATGCTACACACCCCTTCGTCCTCTTTATCGCTTTGGGTCTGCATGGTACGATGCGCATACGAAACAGGCAGCGGAGCAACCATATGTAATGGAACCCACACGCATCAGGTGTTACGAATTTGCTGACGAGTATAGGGCAGGGTGCACGGACTGATGACCATGTCATTCCAAGCGTTCAATTCGTTCTCAGAGTACCGCATGTCGTGACAGGCGCTGGTGATCAACTTTGTTAGAGCCTGCGTTTCGAAACAGCTTGGATTCTCGCGGTGCACGGTACAGAGATATATAGAGCGCGCTGGCAACTTCAAGAAAGCATTTCAGCTGTTGCTAACATGTTAGAAGGCGAGTCCGGGCAATGGTGCGGACTGCCGGGTGATCGGATCTGGTCGTGTTCCTTTTCTCAGTCATTAAACAAAGCTCCGACCTCGCATCATATGCGGCTCCTTATTAACAACGTCGAATAAAGCCTTAAGAATCACCTTAAGTTGCCCTAATCCGTTTCCTGATATGTATTGTTGCTGTCGCAAATGTCAAACGACACCAAACCCCACAGCAAAAGCGTCGCCTGCATCTCGCCACGTTCCCCACAAGCCGTCCCAACTTCTCCTAGATGGCTCCACGATCCGGTATCCACACCAAAAAGATGAACACCCAAATGGACCAGGATGCAGAGGCCGTTCATGTATCCCCGTCTGGACGCACGAGCAAATTCGCCGCGCCAAGCCGTAGGCTCCAGAGTCGGGACCAGAAGCGGAGACCTTAATCAGAGAGGCCCG